GTTCAGGGAAAAAGGGGGAGCCGTTACGTCTCTGCCGCTGCCGTTATTTTAGGATTAAAAGCTCCGTGGGTTAGAAATTTACCTCTTTGAGGCAGGAAAAAAAAAAAAGCACAACAAATGGCTGCTCCCTGAAGACTTTTGTATTCCCCCCTCCCCAGTCCCTTGCGGTTTAAAAAGCCTCTAATCATCACGTCTGCAAAAGCTGGATATCCTGCTAAGGCTGTACAAAGCTAAAAAAACAATTTATTGAAAGCTTTTTAGAAGGAGGAGTTATTAGGATAGAAATGCCTGAATCACAAATAAAGATGACACTTAAAGCTATAGAAAAGAACGTGCCAAACGGCAGAGATTGTTCTGCCCGAGCCGCCGAAGCGGATGGAGCCGCCGGCGTTGCCCGTCTCTGCCTGGGGCAAGGACGGCGCCAGGAGAAGGGGAAGACATCAGGCTCCAAGCTAACCGCTGCGCGGAGCCCTTTGGTAGGGTTTCACCTCGTCCTCCGGAGACCGGCAGGTGCCTGCGTGTCCCGGGAGGCCCCCGAGTCTGGGGAAGGGAAGTGGTGGGAGCGCAGCGACTTTCCCCAGGTATTCACGGGAGCGAGCGGGAAGAGGCTCCCTGGCTTCTAGCTCCTGCATGGGAAAACGCCGCTGTGCGTGCCCCGTGTTGAGCAGTGGCGTTACAGCCGCCGACCTGCTAGAGACGGAGACGCGGACGAGTGCCTCGAGCTTGGACTGCTGCGTCCTGGGGTCACCACTGCGGGGCAGCCAGCAGGAAAGATGGGGAGCCGGGAAGGGGCATGTTTCGGGGCTGGGGAGCAGGGAGCGGGGTCGTGCAGCACCCCCGGAAAGGGAAGCGTTTGCTGGGAAGCAGAAGGCAGGTGGGACCAGCGCTGGTGGGAGTGCAGGAGGTGGCAGGGCTGGCGCTGAGGAGGGGATATGGTGAGCTGTTGGCTTGCGGTGTTGCAGGAGTTAAGGCTGAAGCCTTCAGTGCGGCTCGCTGGATAGAGAGAGTTGAGACTTGAAAGGTAATAGAAAGCAGCAGCTGTTTTTTTGATCCTGCTATACAGCCAAAGGAAAAAGGAATAATAATTCCCCTTTGATTGCAAAGGCCTCGGGATTTGGGGACAAAGCCTCTGATGCCTGCTGCACTGCTCCGCCGTGATGGACCGCGGTACGGCCGGGCAGCAGATGATTAGCGTGGACTCCGGCAGCCTCTCTGCCCCGGGCTCAGCCCTGCGCAACAGACTCTCATGTTAATGAACTCCGTTTAATGTCCGGGTGGAGCCCCTCACCAGCACCAGCGCACGCTGCTCCGCACAGCCTTGAAAGGACAGCCTGCCCTGTGCGTGGTGGAGCCGGCCCCGCTCCTGCCTGGCCGCCTCTGCTGCCCGCCGCTCCGCCTGGGCACGTAAAACACCCGAAGTGACCGCTCTTATTCTTTCACTTAACGTTTCATTTTGTTTCTTGATTTCCCTGCAGCCTCCCTCTCCGTTTCTGGGTGAATGTAATCAAAAACCCACAGTTTGTGTTCGATATCCACAAAGGCAGCATCACAGACGCCTGCCTCTCGGTTGTGGCTCAGACCTTCATGGATTCGTGCTCCACCTCCGAGCACCGCCTGGGCAAGGATTCCCCCTCCAACAAGCTGCTCTACGCCAAGGACATCCCCAGCTACAAGAGCTGGGTGGAGAGGTGAGCGTCAGCACGGGGTGGGAGCCGCGTCTGTGCGTGGCTGGCCAGCGCGCGCTGTTCCTGCCAGCTTTCCTGGGCTGAGTCGCTCCAGAGTAATGGCTTTGCTCTTGGTGGTAGAGGACGTACCGCCGTTGGCTCTTCCAGTGAGCCAGTGGCACAGGTCAGCATTGCCTAGTGTCGCTGCTTATACTTTCAGCACCCAGTCAGAGATTAAATCCCAAGGGCAGGAGGGGCGTTTTGAGCCTCTGTGTGTCTCATGGGCCCTCCTTCGCCTTTTATTCTCGCAGGTATTACGCAGACATTGCCAAGCTCCCAGCCATCAGTGACCAGGATATGAACGCCTACCTCGCGGAGCAGTCACGCCTGCACTCTGCCGAGTTCAACATGCTGAGCGCGCTTAACGAAATCTACTCCTACGTCAGCAAATACAGCGAAGAGGTGAGTGTCTTTCTGGTGACGGGCTGCAGAGTCCCTGCCATCTCCGTGGCGTGTGCGGTGGGAGAGAGCACTCGCGCTACAGTGCGACCATCACTTGCATCCCTGTTGCCCTTATCTGTCTGTTCATGCGCTAAGAGGTATGCCCGTAACATACCTCCTAGGAGACTGGAGAGCTAAAATACTTTGTGAGCAATTGAATTCCTCAGTCTTGGCATTTCCCCAGTGCAGCCCACTCCTAAATGCAGTGGAAAATCATCGTGGCCTAGTGAACCTTCCCAGAAGCATCTATGTCTTTTGGGAACAGTGTGGCACAAATCCCATGTTGCAGTGATGCAGACTCCTGTTTGCAAAAAATTCCTGGCAGCATGAGCTCCTTTAATGAATGCATCGCTTGAAACCAAGTTCTCGCCATCTGTTCCACCCCTTCATTTCACTGGAAGAAGAACCTATTTTGCAATTACATCCATTAAAAGGAAGGTTTTTGTCGTTTAATTGCATGTATGCATTTATGATACAATGCCACAACCATTTTCTGATTAGGGTCTAAAATCTCATAACTTTCATGCTAAATGAGACAGGAAATGTAGAGTCCATGGTACAAGAGTGGGAATGATTGCGTTGTGCTGGTAATGTGCATTGAACAGTCCAACAAATAAATCAGCATGACTGTGCAATGGCACAGCGCTTACTGCTTTGCTTTGCCATTTATTATTTAAGTTTCTTTGTTGGAGCAAAGCTAAGGGAAGGTATTTATTTTAACTGTAAAACCGCAGCAACTGAACGTTGTGTGCACTCTGGCTGGAAGGAAATCTTGAACCTGAGAAAGGTTTGTCAGTACTGCACTGTCCCAAAGTCATTAACTGTCTGTTGCTACTATATTGCCCGGAGAAATACTAGGCATTGCTAGTGCCCATACTGAACGCTGCACCCGTCCTAGAAATCTTTCCCGTGGCGTCATCAAGACCAGATTTATCTGGTGCTTTTTACTCAGTCTCTGTCTGTCCCACTCATCCACGTTTCAAGAAGCTCGCATCTTTCTGAATGCACGCCCAGCTCTATCCGCCCCCTCTCTCGCGCACTGACTTCTTTTTTCTTTTTTTCTCCCCCCCTCCCTCCTCTTTTTTTGTACCAGCTCATTGGGGCTTTGGAGCAGGATGAACAGGCACGTAGGCAGCGTCTGGCATACAAAGTAGAGCAACTTATTGGTGCCATGTCTATTGAGAGCTGAAGAAAGCTTGTGATGCTCGCGGAGAAGAGCAGGGTATTGCAAAGACTCTCGGGAGTTAAGAGCAAGAACAAGCAAGAAAGGCACTGGACACAAATAAATACCGAGGTGTTTTCTAGAGGGAGCAGACGCTGGCCCAAGGACTTGCTATGTTCAAAATCACATAGAATGCTGTTTGAAAAGACAGAAAAAAAATAGACAAAGCATCTCAATCAGAATCAAATCAAGATGGATCAATTTTTCAAGTATACATGGAAAGGAGGAACCTGGAAAGTCTGGATATCTCCATGACTGCTGCTTTGCATGAAAATTGTTTGATGTATATTAGGAAATAAAACTTTATTTAAAGGTTTTTTTTAAAAAAAAAAGGAAAAAAAAGGAAAAAAAAAAAAGAAGTAGAACAAAAAACCACAGAGGCCACAGAGATAATGCTGGCAACACAGTTCAGTTCTGATTTCTGTCTTCGTGAGATTCCCGAAGTACGTGGCTCAGACATTCTGCGAATGGATACTTATGCCAATAGGAAAGTTTGGAAAATGGAAATTTTCCGCATTCTGGGATCTTATAACAATATGAGCACAAGTTTGCACCCAGCCTTTTTACACAAGGTAACAGTTTAGCCAAGAAAAGGTTCAGTGGCTGAGTAAATTATAGGCACTAGAAGGAACTTTACCTGAACTGCAAAACCATCAGATCATCCAACCTGTCTTGAAATCCAGCTTTATCTATGTATTTATATAGTGTCTCTCTCTCTCTCTCTCTATATATATATTTTTAAAATCCCATTTACTGTTGAATGAGGAAGGATCTGATTTTAAACACTTTCCCCTTTTCCGTTTCCATTCCACCCCAGCGGGTCGCTGGCCCGGCGCAGCGGTATTCCTGAAGAACGTCCTGTCTGCCGCGGCGCTGTCGCCAAGGCAGTTGCGTTAAGTTGATACTGGTGCATTGTAGTTTTCTGCAGGTACAGTTGGAGCGAAACCAGTCGGCTGACTTTTCCCAGCCGAGGAAAGCTAGGGCGGACTGTTCTTTGTTGCGTTTTGGTGGGCTGGTGGTGTCTTGTGGCAGCCACGTCTGCTTTCTTGCAGTAAAAAAAACAAAAAAAACCCATGTTTACAGTGAGTGATACTTGAAAAGACTAGACTTAGTGAGATGACATATTTATTGTTTTTCTGTGGGACTCGCAGACAAGATCAGAACAGACTTTGTTTGAGTTTTTCCGTCAGCGTACGCGATGTCGCCCGTGGGTCGGGCATAGGACTTTTATTTCCACCAGAAGGAAACCTTTGCTCGAGGCGGGAGGAAATCCCGACCAGCGCCCGCGTGCCCGTGAACGGGCTGTCTGTGTGTCCGTCTCAGCGTCTCGTTGTTGCATTCGGTCCCCGCTGGCCGTGATGGCCCGTGCTCGCGCGGCCAGCGAAAGAGAAACGTTTGTGAGTGTTATTTCTTTAAAAGACGCCAAAGCTTTCGTGTCCCTTTGGAGAGCGCCAGGAGGGGAAGGACCACTGTAAATATTTCCTCTGTAATAAATACAGATGCGTGTGCAGGCTGCAGCGGGGAGGACACGGTGATTAGGCCTAATGGCAAGCGCAGCGTCGACCGCGTGAGCCGGCGGTTGCAGGACTCGACGCCGCCCGGGAGAAGCGGTGCGGAGGGGCCGGGGCTGGAGCTGTCGCGTCT